CAGGTCCCGGATAAAAGAATACGACAAAAGAATACATAAAGTATGTTACATGTATATGCAGTGTACAGAGCGTAAAGTCTTTCTGGAAAAACTACGCACCATACATTCTCCTGTTAGTTATGTTGTTCAATTTAAGAATAGTTTATGTTGGAAAATTAGGCGAATTTATTAGGCTTCAACTCTTGAAACAATCTTCGCAACGCTGTAATTTAATGTTTATCTATCTTTCTAATGACAAACCCCTCTCGGGGACGTAGGTCTACATGTCTGCGTGTCAAAATCGCAAGACATTTAAAAAGAGTTGTTCAAAAGAGGATGAAAGAAGAATATGAAAAATGTTAAAAACAGAGGGGCTGGAAAACAAGGGTTAGACATGGTCAATGCAAGTTATATGGCTGCACTATTTTTACAAACGCGGTTCTATGAAGCACTATGAAAAATAGAAGGCGACTATGAACGGAACACATCATTTTTAAGAAATACGTTTTCATCGGATGACAAATAAACCTGGACACTAAATAGAAATAAGGGCTATATCACTAATAAACGTATATTTTGTGATGTATTGTGATCCGGTTTAGTAAATTAGCGGTGTTCAACTGAAATTCACAATTTTCACGAAACAAAAATTAAATGCTAGAACCCGGAAGCAGGAAGTGTTTTCCGTTAAAGCGAAAGTCTATACAGATTTCATGCCCCTTGTCTATACAAATTTATCTGCCGTAAACCGTCTGACAGAACGATTTTCAGCATAAACATCCGGAAAATGGCCCGCCAGCCGATGTTTTCAACTAGACGAGTATGAAAGGGAATACAGTGTTAGATATCATCGAGGATATGTGACCAAAGGGTTTCAGAAGTCTTGGTATGGTTATTTTGTTATATTTTTGTTATTATGATAAAAGGTTTCTATTTACAAGATTAAAGCTAACATCTTTATCAGTTAAAGTAGATAATATCTTTGCGCCAATTGCGCATAGAGTCTAGACAGTCTTTTGACGTTTTGTGATAAAATAATATTGTTGAATCTCTTACTTGTCATAATCACGACAATCATCGTTCATCATAATTCGCAGATGGGGTTCAGATAGTATGAGTTACTTCCCTTACGACCTTAGTTTCTTATATGCAATTTGCAGTTAAAACTTAAATGTGAATCTTGATCTTGATCTGTATACGGTGTGACGTCAAAGACATTGTTTACACCGGCCTTTGCAATTATCAAGCGGCTTAGGGCAACATGATACCCTCTCTAATGATTTTTGCGAATGAGTGAAACAAAGGTGTTAGTCGCAATGAATGATTGATTTGACATAAACATTTGTTTAATCTTGTTATTCATTTAATATCAAAATATAGAAAAGATAAAAATGGATTTGTGCTATATTGTTATGAATTACGGCACGGATTTATATTACAAGGATCGGACACTTTCGTTTAGCTTAAAGTCCCGTCGCGCGCGCGGAATCGGATAAAGGTGGACAGAATGAGATGGCGTAACGCTCGGAGTGTGAAATATGACACATTTTCACAAGAGTATGTGGTGTTATTGCAGCTCTGTGAAAAATTATACACATATGAATGTATTGATACAGTATTATTTTGTGCAGCTAAAGTATTAATATATGAAAATATGCCGATAGAACGCTGCGACGCTTAGTTAAAAAGTACCTAATTTAAAAAATATTCGCCTATTGTTTAGGCATACTCTCTACACTTTGACGCCCTTTTACGTCAAGCATAAATTATTACCGCGATTCAGATTAAGATAATTATTTTTTACATGGTTTAATAGTGGCATTGCAAAAAAAATGTTTCTTGATTGCTAAAATACTTTTAAAGAAATTCATGTTTGAAATGTGTCTTTATTTCTGTGAATTATTTCCAAATGATTTGTACATGTTTTATTTGATCTACCTGTATATTAGTATAAATATAGTAAATATTCTACTAATTAGTGTATTAAATATATTTTCAAATTATTCTAGACATTCCATCATATATAAATGAATTCATTAGATTGGCAAGGAAGAAACTTTTATTGGCATACTGAACAGCTGTTTTATATAATTATTTTTGGAAACAGATTTTTTTTCATAGTTATCCTTCACAATTCACGTCAAATGATTTATTTGACATATGTTTATTTTCATTATTTTTCAAGGAAAGGACTAAACAAATTAAGTTGTTTATTTTCAATTTCATTTATAAACGTTAATAAAGAAAATAGATTTACATTGTGTTTATATATATCCTCTTCAGAATCATTTTCTTACCACACATGCCATGGACTGTAGTTAAAGACCGCGCACATACAACATATACATTCAATTTCTATTTGTTTTTAAAGATTGAGTGTTGAAATTATAATATGTGACCTGATAATGAAAGTTTGAAAACAAAGTTTTTCAATTATCACTTGTTACCTGGTAATTAACCCCCTTCAAAAGTAATTAAACTTCAAAGAAATTTAAGCGATGTGTAAAAGATAATCAACAGTTACTTTTATTTCGCATAATACTGACTCAAACTGTAAAGATTTTTATTGTTTTTTTAGCGTTACATTAAAAATATCAGAAATATATTTCTACAGGCATTCAAATAAAAAGAATAATTAAAATATACGAGTGAAATAATTAAATTATACGAGTGACATTAAAAAGGCCGGAATCGAGACAGCCACACGAGTGTATTTTACTGTTACGATGAATGTCTACTTCACTGCACCGACATTTGAAAACAGATTTACAAAAAAAATAATAATGATATAAATGATGAAGAAAATTTAAATATCCTATGAAAATGGCAATACATGTATTGACAATATCAGCAATATCTTGTATTTAAAAGAATTAATAAATTTACTTTACTTGTTGAGCGAATTGTAAAGCCCGCAATACATTACCCGTAAAACAATTGTGCGTAAATTAATTTGACTACATAACCAAATAAATCTTAAGTATTGCATCTTTGATCACCTGTGAATAACTTTCATGATGGCATTGGCTTCTTTTTTATTTTGAAATTGAATTTATTATGTTACCGTAATAATGAATTTCAAATATCTGCTATTTATATAAAAAAAAATGTAAATTTACCGCGGATTTCGTCAAGTTAATTTCTTAATCGTCGTTGCAGACAGATAGTCTGTATCTTTAAAAAATAAATTAGATATTTGAATTAAACAAGCATTTTTCTTGAAAATAAACTTTAAATTTCAAAAATCGGATAATAAATGGAAAAGCTATATGGTATTTTGTAAAGTAGGTATCCGTTGCGAACGGGCATTTTCGCTTAGCGCCGATAAATTATCGATCGATGTACCTTTATCGGGTGCACGACAAGATATTTAAGCATTTATATAGGGTTAACTGGGAGTGTCTGATCCCTGTAATATAAATCCGTGATTACGGACAGGGCGGACCGTGAGACAGGGTGGACCGTATGTTTGGATGGGGCAGACCATATTTTGGGACAGGGCGGACCCTGACTCAAGACGAGGCGGTCTGGAATTACAAACAAAATTGCGCACCTATCCAGAATTATTTTTTTTTGGTGGAAAGTGTCTTGTCGGAATATTTTATCTTTTTTGACTCCTTTCTCGTGGTTGATTTCCTTCAATTTTGATTCCTTTGACAAGTTAGTTTACATCATGAACTTTAAGATGCTGTCTGTTTAGCAAATTGATATACATAATGTATAATTATGGTCATTGACGATTAAGAAATAATATATCCCAAACTGTGATTTTATTGCTCAATAGCATCACTGTTTGGAGTTCGGATGCGGGGAATTATATTACGAGGGCGTAGCCTGAGTGATATAATGATGCGCATCCGAACGACAAACAGTGATGTTATCAAGCAATAAAATCACCGATTTGGATATATTATTTCGATTCTTACACGACATCAACAAATAAATGCTGCCCGTGCATGATAATTAGCTAAATTGCGCCTGATTTGTGTCCGTACTTATTGTCAGCGCGTCACATTTTTAGTGGTTACGTCACGTGTATAATGATTACGTCACATGTCTAAATATAGAACGTCAAACAGTGATTTTATAGCATGATAACACACACTTTCGGTTCTTCTATGTTCGATAGGGAAAAATGCGGGTTGTGTAAGAATTGTATTTAAACTATTCTTGGTTGTCCTATAGTTAGTAAGGAATGAACTAATATAAATAATCATTTTTCCTTTATAAAACTTAAATGTTATGAATGGATTATATAAAAAAATATTACAATTAAAGTAATTTTGTCAAGTTTATTTACTTCAGTGCAGAACGAAAATATGTTTTACTTATAAGATTTTTTCAATCCATTCCCACTATCTTACCCTACCTATTTTATACTTATAATTGCAAGGGTACTGTAAATGTTAATACTCTAAGTATTCACTGTAATATACATTGTATACATGTACTAGTATAAAATTATATTAATTTATTTTTTTAAACATTTTTTTGTTTTTGATAACATTGATATTAAAAGATAAAAAAATAAAATAAATGAAATAGCAGTATTAAATTTGAAATTAATTATGGTCCACCTCATCTCGAGTCATGGTCCGCCCTTTCCAAGATACCGTCCTGGTATGGTTTGCCCTGTCTCACGGTCCGCCCTGTCCTACGACCATTGTTATATCTTGTTCAATACTGTCTGGTGCCATATAAGTTGTTTACATGGGACATTACAGAGTGTTACCTTCTGATGCCACATAAGGCAATATAGTTAATAAATCATATGAGCTATAATAGATTACATTACACACATATTTTTATTACTTTATTGTGAATAATTGTATTGATCAATCATATGTAGCCCTACAGAATGCAAATTTAAATTATCTGTAAATAAATTTGTACTGCTTTCAGAGAGATGTATGCAGATCAAACCCATCAAGTACGCCAACACCATGTCTACAAGGTCATACCTCTAGAACCTCTGACACCTCTACAGCTGAGGACAAATCTAAAAGTTTGTATTCATATTAAATGTATTCGAACTTAAGATTATTTGAATAACTGGAGGAATTTTATCCTTTGCAAGTGAAGTCTATGTTTGCATCAGTGCTAGACTTGGTTAGGATTGTGTATGCAATTTTAAATTCCATATTTTAAGTAACATAATCATTTTTAGCTTGATTTAAAACCCAGGAAACAGTGTCTCTGTTTCATTCATATAATTATGAAATGAGAAGTTGCTTATTTTAATGTAAATATTTATTATTTACTTACTATTGAAGTATTATAGCATTTATCTCCCATGTGTTGCAGGTGGACAGAGGGATAGTATGAATGCTTCAGTGAAATTAAGGAGCTCAGGTTCTAACAAGGTACATGTACATGTATACACATGCTTATATATGAAATGGATTCTTCTGATTTGATACTAAATTGATATTATACATATTGTCATGTCTATCAGTGAATATAACTTGATAGGATTCCAATAATTGTTTTTAAATAACAATACAGTCAGAAATATTTTTAAAAAAAACATTGGAAACATGAAGAAGTCTACATTTTCATGACTTTTATATAATATTCAATTTGAACAATGGAATTATTCACAAGTCTCTACTGTTGGGATGGCTAAATGCTTTTTTGTGCAGAAGACCTCCTGGCCTTTAATATTTACTTTGGTGCCATGTATTGCATTATTATATGTGACATTAACCAATATTAAAATTCTGTAGTGCAAGTTAATATTTACTAGTATACCTGGTAAACTTTGTAGCAGGGCAAGTATTTACTGCTGTCTTGATATGACTAAATTGTTGTTGGAAGTAGCATCAAACCCTTTACCCACAATAAATTGTTTAAACAATATTTTTCTCATCCATTCAAGCTTAGTAGTGCAGTGCAACACAGAGGTACTCCGATGTGCAATTTTACAAGTTTTTCCAGACAGTGATAACAGCGAGGCTTGAAGACTACTGTACACAATTTCTTAACAAATCCAAAAACAAAGCCGCGTAACACTCAACTTAGTATGTATTTTTCCTTAACTTCATTATCATACAACATATAGCACAAACTCTGCACATTTCTGAAAACTTATTTTAAAGGTTGAATTATATCTTACCAACCAACTTCAGAATGTCAGAACTTAGAAACATTATTAGATTTGTAGTCAATTAAGTCAGTCATCCTGCCATCTCAGTGATGTCCCTATTCAGTGACAATAAATTTTGAGACATATTTAACTTAAAAGACCAAACTAAATAGCATTTCACATATTTATTATTTCAACAGAACCTTCCCTGAAAATGCTTTCCTAAAACGTCTCAAGGGAATTGTCAGACTTTTCTACTTATTTGAGGTCATTTCAAGGGCAGATAACTTATACAAATACTCAAATGAATTCTTGTTTTTACTTCTGGATTATGCTTTTCTTTTTATTTTTGAGTACAATACATAATAATATGCAATTCCTTACATTGTTTCCATTAACTTTTTTTCAATGAAAATAAAGGTACTTTAAATCCTTAAAAAACAGGCCATTTTTTAAGAAAAAATGCACAGAAGAAGTGGGAATAAAAACTACCCACTCTAAATTTGTTCTTGAATTTTGCATATCAACTAAAATGAAGGTAAGCTTAATGAAAATAAGAAAAAAAATGTATTAATTCTCTTCATTGTAAATTATCTGCCCTTGAATTTAACAAAAAGTCCATTTCAAAGGCAGATGACTCAAAAACGAGAAATTTTTTGTTCGCTTTAATTTGTTTCTGTTATCATATTCTAACAACATCTTACATGCCAAGTTTAAAGAAATTCTATTGAACAGTTTTAATTTTGCCTATATGTCTATATGAAAACTTCCAAAAACGTCCGTAAGTGATAAAGACTGACAAGTAAATCAATACCACATTTTGCCATTCCCATGAGTGGTCTTTACTTACAGGTTTGACTGTACATTAAATCTAAAAATAAAAAAGCACTACATGCTTGGGAAGAAAGCCTTAACCAAAAGTGAACACTTAGTGCCCAAATTTAAGTTTAAAATTTGTGCATTTATTTAAGTGATCACAATTTTGGTAGAAACAATGTTATAAATGTTGCTTTAAATGCAGAGTAAAGTAAAGTTTTGTCATTTTTAGTCCCCTACCGGTTTAACCGGAGGGGACTTTAGGTTTACCCTCCGTCCGTCTGTCTGTCTGTACGTCTGTCTGTCCGTCTGTCTGTCTGTCTGTCAGTCCGTCAGTCCGTCCGTCCACAAAACTGGATCCCGCGATAACGCAAAAAGTACTGAAAATATTTTTATGAAACTTGATATATGGATAGATGGCAGTATGGAGATTATGCACGTCTTTTTTTTTTCTTCCTATGTTGAAAATTCTGGTTGCTATGGCAACAAATAGTCTGAAAATATGGCAAATTTAACACATAAACTGGATCCAGTGATAACTCAAAAAGTACTGAAAATATTTTTATGAAACTTGAAATATGGGTAGATGGCAGTCTGGAGATTATGCACATCTTTTTCTTTTCTTCCTATGTTGAAAATTCTGGTTGCTATGGCAACAAATAGCCTGAATTTCAAGATTTCTGATTTAAATTTTTCAGCTTTTTCACTATATGTTCTTTATTTCTTAAGGTGTTTACTTCAAACTTTAAATATAAGTTCCTGGTCATCAACCACATCATATGTGACAAGGTTTATAACTCTAGCACAAAAAATATCAATATTACCTCCCTTGAACTTAGATTTTTTATGAAAAAAAATGTTGTCTTTTTTAAATATCTTCTTTATTTCCTAATGTATCTACTTCAAACTTCATATATATGTTTCTTATTATCACTCGACATTTTTGAGAAGGTTAAATACTCTAGCAAAGTTATTTCCAGAATTATGTCCCCCTTGAACTTAGATTTTTTACGAGAAACTGGTATTTTCACTCCAACTTCTTCATTCCTTATAGGATTTACTTTAAAATCCCACATCGTAATAATATGACAAGGTTGTATAAACATAATTTCCTTACTAAGCATGGAAACTTAACACATTACTGTGATATAGACAAACTTATTTTATTATGTTTTGTGGTCGATATTTTCAAATACAGACTTCATCCTCAAATTCATTATAAATGGCAATACACAGGAGTGTATGACAATTAAAGAACTTTTTGAGGGACCGGTAGGGGACTACTGTATTGCCCGCAATACTATCAAATGCTTGTTTTACAGGTGATTCAAAGAAAACCAGACTACAAACAAGAAAGGGTCGATTGAATGGAGTGACATTTTTTCCCTGAAGCGTCCTATCAAGATATAGAGAATCTAGTCGTTTGTGCCACGGCACAAAAATTATCAGACACATAAGTAACATTCAAGTAGTAGTATGCATTTACATGGAGGATATGACATAATTGTATTTTCATATTGAATTTATCATATAAGTTGAATAAAGAAAATAAAATGTGAGGCTCTGTCGAGCATTTTAAAAGTTTTAATTAATGCAATTTGGAAAGTCACAAATGTAATATTCTTTTATCACATGTTAGATTTTCCTGTCAAAAAATTGAAAATTATTCTTTCTTTTACTATTTTAACAAGCCAACTTAATCAACACTTCCAATACTTTAAAAGACATTGACGTCTAATCTTTATTACACTAGTGTATAATAATTTTTATGCCCCCGCCATGTAATGGCCGGGGCATATAGTGTTACCCTGTTCCGTCCTTCCGTCCTTCCGTCATTCCGTCCTTCCGTCATTCCGTCCTTCCGTCATTCCGTCATTCTGTCATTCCGTCATCATCAGTTTCCGTTCATTATCTCCCCAACGGTACAACACATTCAACTTAAATTTGACATATGGATATGTCATGAGAAAATACAGGTCAAGTTCGAATTTGGTCATGGTTCGATGCTTTTTGGCAGAGTTATGCCCCTTTTACTTTGAAAATAATATGAAATTTTCAGTTTCCGTTCATTATCTCCCAAACGGTACAACACATTCAACTCAAATTTGACATATGCATATATCATGAGAAAATACAGGTCAAGTTCGAATTTGGTCATGGTTCGATGATTTTTGGCAGAGTTATGCCCCTTTTACTTTGAAAATAATATGAAATTTTCAGTTTCCGTTCATTATCTCCCCAACGGTACAACACATTCAACTCAAATTTGACATATGGATATGTCATGAGAAAATACAGGTCAAGTTCGAATTTGGTCATGGTTCGATGATTTTTGGCAGAGTTATGCCCCTTTTACTTTGAAAATAATATGAAATTTTCAGTTTCTGTCATTATCTCCCCAACGGTACAACACATTCAACTCAAATTTGACATATGGATATGTCATGAGAATATACAGGTCAAGTTCGAATTTGGTCATGGTTCGATGATTTTTGGCAGAGTTATGCCCCTTTTATTTTGAAAATAATGTGAAATTTTCAGTTTCCATTCATTATCTCCCAAACGGTACAACACATTCAACTCAAATTTGACATATGGATATGTCATGAGAAAACACAGGTCAAGTTCGAATTTGGTCATGGTTTGATGATTTTTGGCAGAGTTATGCCCCTTTTTCTTAGTAAATAATATGAAATTTTCAGTTTCTGTTCATTATCTCCCCAACAGTACAACACATTCAACTCAAATTTGACATATGGATATGTTTCTGGAATGCCCAGGCCAATTTCGAATTTGGTCATGGTTCAATGATTTTTGGCAGAGTAATGCCCGTTTCACTTTGAAAATAATATGAAATTTACAGTTTCTGTTCATTATCTACCCAACAGTGTTACATATTCAACTCAAATTTGACATATGGATATGTCAAAGGAATGGGCAGGTCAAGTTGGAATTTGGTCATGGTTCGATGATTTTTTGGCAGAGTTATGTCCCTTTCACTTTGAAAATAATATAGATACGTCTTAGGAATAAGCAGTTTAAGTTTGAATTTGGTCATGGTTTAATGATTTTGGACAACCTTATCTTTCTTGAATGTTGGAAATTTTTTGAACTTTTTGTTTCAGCACTCATACTTTTGTGGAAATGTATGTATAGCCATTATTTTGGCTACAAATATGAAATATGCTATTTTCAAAAGGTTAAGACTGAATAATTTCAGTGCCTTGAATATTGTATGAAAATGGTTTGTGTTAACACTGAAAAGTTTAAAGGGCTTTGAACTTAAAATGAAAACAATAATTTGTGCAAACAAATTTGGAGCTAAATATTATAACATTTGAAATTTTGGCTGCATGCGGGGGCATCCGTGGCATGATGACACATTTCTAGTTTTGTAATGACTTTATTACAATCCTGTGATGTCAAACATATATGATAATGTTCTATTAGCATTAATTGTAGACTTGTTGAACTTTTTTCTTAACAAACTCTATGAAATACTGGTTGAACCCTAATAGTGCTGGAAACAAACGTTTCAGGCCATGTTGACCAGTGTAGACCAGATTTGCAGGCACCCTTGCCAGTTGATCGAATCACACACTTAATTGCCAACATGGTTGGAAGGGTCTTATTGTCCAAGCTGCAAAGAGTGTATACCCATATAAACTAGCTGGCACAGTTTGTGTCAGTTGATATCAGTCTGTGCTGGTTGCAAATTCAAATCCAATACTTTCATAGAATTATATGTTTTTATTTAATGTTTATTGCATCAATAAATTGATAATCTGAAAAAATATTGCAAGTCAGGTTTTCAAGTATAATCCTAATTAACTTTTAGAACATTTTGCATAAAGTAAGGTGATATCTCTAAGTTGTCAAAGAAAAGTTTTTGCAGCTCTTTATAATTAAACATGGCATGGCACTTGTATCTATAGCTTTGTCCACAACACAAGTACTCAAATTTTGTGACATTTTTTAATATAGTTTTCCCCATATTCCAATTACAGTAATTTGTTACATTTCTCTTTCCTCTATCATTCTTAGTTTTTGTATTTAATATTTTCCAAGTGGTAAATAAAAACAATATAAAATTTCACGATTATTTCTAATATTTTATTTACTTGTGTATTTCATGCAATTTAGGCTAAAAATGTAAAAAAGTAATTTTTGAAGAATTTTTTTTTTTAAGTTAGACCAGTGTTGCTTCAGCCATCAATATGTTAACTTGTCATGTAGTATGTACACAAACATACTGGGAGAAGAAACAGATGTTTGGCTGAATGAAAGTACAAAATGTTTTTGCTTATCGTTTTCCAATGAATAACCATGTACAAGGTTAAATTACTTTTTTGGGTGATGTTCTTTTCTGTGGAAAGACCAGGTGTTGCTTCACAATTGTTTTTTCCTCATTAATATCATTTTATGTAATTTCCATTTTTGGCTTTTTGCTTGATATATTGATGTCCTGTGTGAGCATCTATTAGCAATACATGTATCAATGAGTGTCATGAGTTACTTATAAGACCATGAAGTACAAAATAAAACTATATTACAGCTGTTAATTGTTTTGTCTTTTCTTTCCTGTGGTCAAGGTTTGGTACTGCTATGACTTACTCTTTCAGGGAGTGAACTTAGATATACAATTGTTATTAATAGTGTAGAGGGAATGTCCACTTTTATGTTGACACTAAGAAATTAAAATTGTCTTGGTCTGTAGTAGCAATGTAGTTTTGAAAAAGTTCTTGCAATTTTAGATGAACATGATTTGCTCCTACCAGTACTTTTATGGAGATGACCTTATATATCTTTGTTACACAATTAAATATTCAAAAAAAATGTTACTTATGAAAATGGTAAATTTTTAGATTCATACCAAACAAAGTCAAGCAAAATGTGAATAGGCACATCATACAGATAGAATAAAGTCAAATTGGTATAGACACATCATGTCCAGCGAAATCTGAAACCTGTAAAGACAGATCATACTGATTGAAATCTGTATACACACATCATAATAAAGTCTTGTGAAATCTGTATAATACGACAGATCATAAAAAAATGAAGTCTGGTGAAATCTGTACAGACTGATCATAATGAATAAAGTCTTGTGATATCTGTATAGACAGATCATAACGAATTAAATCTGGTGAAATCTGTATAGACAGATCATAACAAATGAAGTCTAGTGAAATCTGTATAGACAGATTATAATGAATGAAATCTGGTGAAATCTGTATAGACAGATCATAATGAATGAAATCTGGTGAAATCTGTATAGACAGATCATAACAAATGAAGTCTAGTGAAATCTGTATAGACGGATCATACCAAATGAAGTCTAGTGAAATCTGTATAGACAGATCATAATGAATGAAATCTGGTGAAATCTGTATAGACAGATCATAACCAATGAAGTCTAGTGAAATCTGTATAGACGGATCATACCGAATGAAGTCTAGTGAAATCTGTATAGACAGATCATAACAAATTAAATCTGGTGAAATCTGTATAGACAGATCATAATGAATGAAGTCTGGTGAAATCTGTATAGACAGATCATACCCAATGAATACTAGTGAAATCTGTATAGATAGATCATACCGAATGAAGTCTAGTGAAATCAGTATAGACAGATCATAAAGAATGAAGTCTTGTGAAATATGTATAGACAGATCATAAAGAATGAAGTCTAGTGAAATCTGTATAGACAGATTATAATAAATGAAGTGTAGTGAAATCTGTATAGACAGATCATAACAAATGAAGTCTAGTGAAATCTGTATAGACTGATCATACCCAATGAATACTAGTGAAATCTGTATAGACATATCATACTCAATGAATACTAGTGAAATCTGTATAGACAGATCATACCGAATGAAGTCTAGTGAAATCTGTATAGACAGATCATAACAAATTAAATCTGGTGAAATCTGTATAGACAGATCATAATGAATGAAGTCTTGTGAAATCTGTATAGACAGATCATAAAGAATGAAATCTGGTGAAATCTGTATAGACAGATCATAATGAATGAAGTCTGGTGAAATCTGTATAGACAGATTATAATAAATGAAGTCTAGTGGAATCTGTATAGACAGATCATAAAGAATGAAGTCTGGTGAAATCTGTATAGACAGTTCATAATAAATAAAGTGTAGTGAAATCTGTATAGACAGATCATAACGAATGAAGTATGGTGAAATATGTATAAACAGATCATACCAAATGAAGTATGGTGAAATCTGTATAGACAGATCATACCGAATGAAATCTAGTGAAATCTGTATAGACAGTTCATAGTAAATAAAGTGTAGTGAAATCTGTATAGACAGATTATAATGAATGAAGTATAGTGAAATCTGTATAGACAGTTCATACCGAATGAAATCTAGTGAAATCTGTATAGACAGTTCATAGTAAATAAAGTGTAGTGAAATCTGTATAGACAGATTATAATGAATGAAGTATGGTGAAATCTGTATAGACAGATCATACCGAATGAAATCTAGTGAAATCTGTATAGACAGTTCATAGTAAATTAAGTGTAGTGAAATCTGTATAGACAGATTATAATGAATGAAGTTTAGTGAAATCTGTATAGACAGTTCATAATGAATGAAGTCTAGTGAGTCTAGTGAAATCTGTTTAGACAGTTCATAATAAATAAAGTCTAGCGAAATCTGTATAGACAGATTATAATGAATGAAGTCTAGTGAAATCTGTATAGACAGTTCATAATGATAAACAGATCATAATGAATGAAGTATAGTGAAATCTGTATAGACAGATCATAATGAATGAAGTCTAGTGAGTATAGTGAAATCTGTATAGACAGTTCATAATAAATGAAGTCTAGTGAAATCTGTATAGACAGATCATACTGAATGAAATCTGGTGAAATCTGTATAGACAGATCATAATGAATGAAGTCTGGTGAAATCTGTATAGACAGATCATACCCAATGAATACTAGTGAAATCTGTATAGATAGATCATACCGAATGAAGTCTAGTGAAATCAGTATAGACAGATCATAAAGAATGAAGTCTTGTGAAATCTGTATAGACAGATCATAAAGAATGAAGTCTTGTGAAATCTGTATAGACAGATCATAAAGAATGAAGTCTAGTGAAATCTGTATAGACAGATTATAATAAATGAAGTGTAGTGAAATCTGTATAGACAGATCATAACAAATGAAGTCTAGTGAAATCTGTATAGACTGATCATACCCAATGAATACTAGTGAAATCTGTATAGACAGATCATAACAAATGAAGTCTAGTGAAATCTGTATAGACAGATCATAACAAATTAAATCTGGTGAAATCTGTATAGACAGATCATAATGAATGAAGTCTTGTGAAATCTGTATAGACAGATCATAAAGAATGAAATCTGGTGAAATCTGTATAGACAGATCATAATGAATGAAGTCTGGTGAAATCTGTATAGACAGATTATAATAAATGAAGTCTAGTGGAATCTGTATAGACAGATCATAAAGAATGAAGTCTGGTGAAATCTGTATAGACAGTTCATAATAAATAAAGTGTAGTGAAATCTGTATAGACAGATCATAACGAATGAAGTATGGTGAAATCTGTATAGACAGATCATACCGAATGAAATCTAGTGAAATCTGTATATATAGACAGTTCATAGTAAATAAAGTGTAGTGAAATCTGTATAGACAGATTATAATGAATGAAGTATAGTGAAATCTGTATAGACAGTTCATACCGAATGAAATCTAGTGAAATCTGTATAGACAGTTCATAGTAAATAAAGTGTAGTGAAATCTGTATAGACAGATTATAAGGAATGAAGTATGGTGAAATCTGTATAGACAGATCATACCGAATGAAATCTAGTGAAATCTGTATAGACAGTTCATAGTAAATTAAGTGTAGTGAAATCTGTATAGACAGATTATAATGAATGAAGTTAAGTGAAATCTGTATAGACAGTTCATAATGAATGAAGTCTAGTGAGTCTAGTGAAATCTGTTTAGACAGTTCATAATAAATAAAGTCTAGCGAAATCTGTATAGACAGATTATAATGAATGAAGTCTAGTGAAATCTGTATAGACAGTTCATAATGATAAACAGATCATAATGAATGAAGTATAGTGAAATCTGTATAGACAGATCATAATGAATGAAGTCTAGTGAGTATAGTGAAATCTGTATAGACAGTTCATAATAAATGAAGTCTAGTGAAATCTGTATAGACAGATCATACTGAATGAAATCTGGTGAAATCTGTATAGACAGATCATAATGAATGAAGTCTGGTGAAATCTGTATAGACAGATCATACCGAATGAAATCTGGTGAAATCTGTATAGACAGATCATAATGAATGAAGTCTGGTGAAATCTGTATAGACAGATCATACCGAATGAAATCTGGTGAAATCTGTATAGACACATTATACCACTACATGATAAAATATTTTCAAATTAACTTAATATAGACAGTGGTCTATTGATCATATGGAATGAACTCTGTTGAAGTCTGTATAGACACATTATATAGGGTGAAATATAGTCAAATTAGTGAAGTTAAGTTTTTAGTACACATAACTTGGTAAGATCTTTCAAATCAGGACACATATTAGGATAGTTCAGTCAAATCTGTATAGACAAAATATCAAAGAGTAAAATTTGGTGGTCATGAACCTTTTTCAGTACATGCGGTAATGCATTTTTTTATGTTTTTGTTCAAACTATTCCTTATAAAAACCTAATTTATTTTTTAATTATTAATTAATTAATTATTAATAATTTTTTATTCCTTACAGTAGATCTATATTTACTTTCACGACATCATGCAGATTTTACGACTTTCAAATCTGTATAGACGAGTACCTCGTAATATTTGTATAGACTTTCGCCCTTTCCAGTGTTTTCTTTTGAAAACTTAAAATTTTTGAAAGTTTGTTTGTATATAGATTATCCTTTTCTACATGTTTACATTTTGATGAAAGTTATCGACCGGTGTCCTTTTTGTAAGTTCTATACAAAACTCTATTGCAAAAACATGCTTGCAAACGTCTTCTTACAACAGGACGCCAACTAGTCTCTAATTTTAACACTGTCATTGATGTGTTTTGAGATCAACAAAACCTTTCGCGATTAAAAACTGCTTCATAATCATGTCTCTCCATATTACATTCATAACAATAATGACTGTAATCTTCGAGATCAAAATTAACATTAGCTTTAACAGGCTGGTGAAAACAGACTGATGTTCTCATCATGGACTTCGCCAAGGCCTTCGACAAAGTATGTCACAGCCTTTTATCCCACTACGGCATCAGAGGCAAGACCAACCTGTGGATTCAGGCCTTCTCAAGCAACCGATTCCAATCTGTTGTCTTGGAAGGGGTAACCTCAGATACAGTATCTTTAGAATCCGGCGTCCCACAGGGCTCAGTCTTTGGCCCGAGTCTGTTCCTTTTCTACATAAATGACATCCCAGAGGGTCTCAACGCAGTCGTCCGACTATTTGCAGATGATACGCTGGCCTACCTTGCCATCACAAACAA